CGATGTTCGCACCTTCGCCGGCGTCGACCGACACCTTCGCACCTTCGCATGCCGCCTCCTCCTGGCCCGTTTCCGTCGTTGCCTCCACGCCGACCTCATCCTTTTCCTTCCCCTCACCTGCCGACCCCGTAGCATTACCCGCATCGCCATCCTCCGCTTCCTCGTTCTTCTCGTCCGCCGACCCCACCGCCTCAACCGTGCCGTCTGCGTACTCCAGCTCGTACTCCACCTCCTCCTCCACCCCTTCCTCGTGCGCCGCCTCGTCCTTCCCAGCCAAAACCTCCACCACCTCATCGTTCTCGTCCTTGCCCTCGTCATCCTCCTCGTCCTCATTCTCCTTCTCCCCTTCGTCCTCCTCCTCCCCCTCCGACTCCGACTCTGAGCCAGAGTCCGTCAACTCCTCTTCCTTCCTGCCTGCGCCTGCCGCATCGTCGCCTAGTCCTCCACCGGTTCCTCCTTCCGCGGACACCGGCAAGTCCTCCTGGAGCTGGGCGGCAGCTGCTGCTTGGGGCGCCGTCTGACTTTCCGCGCCGTCGTCATCAATCGCACCCTCGGCGGGTCCGTCGGCGCCTGAAGTCGGCGCCGCTATCCGGTTTTCGGCGACACGATGGCAGATGTAATCGACCATGCTATCACGGAGCGACCTCAAACCCGCGACCTTGATGTTCTCGATGCTCACAGCGCTCCGAGCCTTGTCGCCCGTCAGCAGGCCGATCTGCTTGGCCACCCACCCGAACGACGTCGCGGCAAGCATGCCGGTGCCGACATGCCCGTCCGACACTGTGCCCGGCACTTTCTGCATACAGCACAGGCAAGCGCGGCACAATATGAGCGGTGCACACAGATACGCGCAGACCGTAGCGGAGCCTAAACGTGCAACTCACGTCGCGGATAGGGTCGTCGCAGTCTGCAAGCCTTTCCTCCACCACTGCTTGTGATGGAGGCGCCCCGTCCCACTTCCTACCGGGACGCCCCAGCTCGGCCAGGGCAGCCGTGCGGAATAGCCTGGAGCAACGTAGTGGAGAGGAGGTCAGCATGAGATTCCCTGTGTCGGCGACTAACAAACTCGACAGCGACGACTATTCACAACTTACTTCAGGACGCGGACGGCCTCGTCGCGGTGCTTCCCCTTTCCGGTGTGCGGGTCGATGTGCCGGATCGATGTCCTGCAGACCTGTCCCTCAGCCTTCAGCACATCTCCTGGGTAGAGGATGGCTATGACGCTGCAGTGTGACCCTGGAAGCGGGCCGCCGCTGCACACGCAATAAACGACGGCGTCGACCACAGCATAAGGCGTTGATGCGGCCGACACTGAAAAACGATGACTGGACAACGGGGTAACAGCTCACGTCGATTTCAGCGGGATAGCGGCGATGTCGGCGTCGAAAGCCTTAGCAAAGCAAGAATGGTCGGCGGCTTTCATGGCCGATCGAAGCGGGCCGATCCCGAGCACCCACAACCGCAGGTCGTCCCGCCCAATGTCAAACCAAGCGAACCTGAGCGCACGAGTGAGCACGAGGGATGAGAACATGGCTGGTAAGCAAACGCTGCCATGTCGACGTGCTTCGTCAAACGCGCCCGCCGACGTACGTCGGAAGACAATCGGCGACAGTGCGCCCTACTAGGGTTGGTCGGCACCGACATCTACCCTATTCGACTACCGCGACTACCCGCGTCCCACCTGATGGCGAGTCCAAAGCATCTCTCGGTGAACTCTTTCTTTTGGTCGCGAAGGACGGCGTAGTCGTTCCACTCTAAGGTGAAGCTGAGACCGCGACCCATTTGCACCCGAAGGGGAAAGTCGGCCGATGTCGGCGCCGACTTATCGGCGGCGGAGATCGGCTCCATATCTGTCGACTAAGAAAAGAGGCGGACGGCTCTGGTAGGAGAGAGGGGAGGCGCAGAGCTGTCAATGTTTGAAAATCCGAAAGAGATGCCGAAAATGCGGAGCGAGGCCACCTTCCACAGAGAAAAGGAGGTGGTGCCCCCCCCCCCCCCCCCAGGCCCGTTCAGCATCGCCCAAGGGTGCAGGGCCTGGCTCGGCAGTGCTCGGAGGGCGGATGCGCAAGTGGCACAGGTGGTCCGTCTCCGCCTTGGTAGAGCGTCGACTTCGCGTCCATTGGCCCAGGTCGGCGAGGGGACGCACGAATCCTCCTGCGCGCGGAGCGACGCTACAATCGACACGTGTCGATTTCGTAGCGGTTCGCGACGATAGAATGCATGCGATGGGAGAGAATTTATTTCCGCCTCGACAAAAATTTCGCATGCGCCCGATGCGAAGCCACGGGCGAACACGTGGCGCCACCGCTGCGAATCGCGAAATTGTCGAGTGTCCCGAGGGGGGCCCGTATTTTCGCACGGCCCTCGCCTGCCCGTCCGGGCAGGCCGCGATGGGTTACTAGGACCTCGCGGGCAGGCAGCACGTGTGGGCTGCCTTCGCGCGAGGGTAACTTTCCCTCGCGCGAGGTGTCGCCAGTTCGCCGACCCCACCCGGTAACGTGGGTCGCTGTTCAATTTCGGAGGGCGGCGGTCGTGCGCTCGGCCCAGCCCTGGGCCAGGCTGGCGGGCCCGCACGCGCGTCAGTCGCCCGCCTCGTCAGACCCGGCTCCGACGACCCCTCCTGTCGACACTGGCAAAACGGGTCCGACGACCGAGTTCCGATGAGGCTTTCGGCTCGAAGAACCCCCCCATTCTAATTCCTGCCTCCCCCACCTGCTCTCCCCCAGATATTTTTTGCCTGCGATACATTTGCTGACGATGTAGAGACGGTAGGCGTGTAGTTTAGTTGGTGTGCCTCTTTCTGCTGCTAAGTAATAGGATCACAAACCTTGTTTTTTGAGGGCAAAGGACATGTTTTCAAGAAGCCCGGATCTAAAGTTTTGAATTCGGCCTGCGCCCGTGAAAATCAGGGCTAGAATCGGAGCAGCTGAGAACTCAAAGTGTTGGTCCCAAACACTTCGACAGGCCTGGTCACAGCTGCCGGTGATGAGAAACAGGCCCCGAGAGAGCTCATAGCAGAGCAGAGCCAACACACAGAGGAACCTCAGTGCTGCCAAGTGGGGAGACAGACGAGACGAGAGAGTCACAAGAGGCAAAACTATGCCCTGCGCTGCATACGGGGCTGGAAGCCTCTAGAATCTCTGTACGTTGGAAACTCCGTTGTGTAGTCCAGTCATAATGGATACCCGGACTGCTGGAAAATCGGTATCACATGGTATCGTTTGTTCCAGTGTGATACAACAGGGTTCACAGGTATGCTTACAAAAAGTAATTCTCGATTTTCCTTTCCTACTTCCAGATTCGAGGTTCAGGGGCAGCCCGGAGGCTCAAGATGTCAAAAAATGATTCCCGCGTTTGGGGATCCCGAACCAAAGTCAGAAGTCTGGCGGTCAGAGCCAACGCGGAACGGTTCCTCCACAAGCTCTACACCTACACAAAACACAAAAGACCTGTCAGGTTTGTGCTACAGTCTCAATAGAGTTCCCCCAACAGCTAGACTAATAGCACATAACCTATCTGTTAATATCAGACTAATAGTGTACTATCCTCCGTTGGCTCACACGAGATTGGATGAAGGTGAAACCACAAACCACTGCCACTTCAACTCTTTATCGATGGAGTATGTCATAATTCGAGCCCTAAACCACGCCAGCCTAGTGCGGTAGCAACGGCGACTGTCGTTCCATAGCCATGGCTGGAACTTGTGTCAGCGTGACGAAGACACGTAGCTGGACATTACTCGCTATGACACGTGAAGCGTTGACCCTCCTGGCTAGTTTCGACCAGTCAATTTTTTATCTCGACGAAATGACGTAACATGGTAGCTCATAAAGCATTTCACATGCTGGTGGCGGGTGCCTCTAGATCAAGGCTCTCTCGTCGAGGCTCTTGCAAATCGATCGACCACCACTCTTCCTTGCAACACCAGCTGCAGCCCTCCTGTGTGCTGTCCGGACGTTCGCTTACGGACCATTCGCTTACACTGCAAATTAACTTCCGAGTTTTTTTCACGAGTTTCTGTAACATGTATTGTCACAACAGGCGCTTGTTTCCCTGTCTCACGTCCTGTTTGTTTTCCGAGCGCACGGGCGACTCTGAGCTTGCTGCAGTGCCAGCCGTTTGTCAGGTTTCTGATTCATTTCCCTCCGCTATTTAAGCGGGCACAGGAACAAAGAGGTGAGACATCTGAACCTCACTAAAGGACGATCCAAATATTGGCGCCTGATGCATGAAATGCAGTTGTTTTGCTGCCACATAATGGTCTCTTAGGCCCTCTTATCAAGCTTCTGATAGCCTTAAGAGATGTTCGTGTGGCAGAGACCAAAGCTTAGAGCTGGAGAGTTTATGTGCTTGTGGGAGGGGGAAGCACCTTAGCTCAAGTAGCTTCGGTGCACTCCAACCAATAGTACCCACATGGCTAACGCCCTCTCCATATCTCAAACTGCCTTCTCTGCCTCCCAGTCTATGTGCGTCTTTTTGCAGGGGAATAGCTCTTTTTTTTTACGGGGACAGTGTGCCCTCTTTTGAAGTGTGTTCCCTGTGAAGTATTTGCTGGTAGCAGCTTGCATCTTTGACAGATAGACAAATGTCTCTCCATGTGCGTCTGCAGGTGTCCTGCTGGTTGGCATGATTGGGAGTTGTGTCTGTTCTTCAAAGGTTGGCAGCTTAATTCAATGCTTTGCAACTAATCTAGTGTGATTTAGTCGATTAGTTCGCTGTTTACATGATCATTACTGAAATATTATCACTATTCTCTTGGCGGAGCAGTTTGTAACATGATTCATTTATAAACTTTTATGGAAAACGCAGTAACAGGAACACACCTATCATAGTGGGAAGAGTTCGTGTAGGCTCCAACCATCTTTCCCATCCCACCCATCCCCCACCCTCGTTGATCGCTGATCTGCTCCTTGCACTTCCTCAACCGAGGGCAATCTCCAGGCTCAAATTCTGGATCTCTCAGTCTTGTCTCAGAATTCTCCTGGTCACGGATCCTAGCCATGGCGACTGCTTCAGGTAGGCTTCCCAGCTTATGGGTGTACTTTAGCTTCGTCGTGGATTAATTCACCAGATCCTCCTGTCACGTGCTCAAGATCAAAAGATCAAGTTATAAAATCCGGACTTGGGGCATTTAGAAATCTCCGGATTACCTTGTCCGCATCTGGTGACTGTTTCGAAAGTTCATTCTGGTGCCATGTGTGCAGCATCGCGCGGATTCATGGCCATCCTCGCTATTATCTCCCTCGTTTTCGCCGGGTCTTGCGCGGCTATCGTCAATGCGTCGCCGTTAGCAACCGTGGAAGCAGCAAAGACTCTCGCAGTTCCTGCGGAAGACGGCTCCTACGGCAGGTGAGATTATATTCAAAGGACTTCATGCGTTGTCGGAGTAGACTCAAAATCCTCGCTGCTGTCGATCTTCAATGCGTCTCTTTTGCCAATCATGAAGACATTTTGGTACCATCCTTTCGAAGATGGCTCGTACGTCCCGGTCGAACGTTTTATAATTTCTCTTTGGATCAAGTGGCGCATTAGTCGGACGGAGTCAGATCCTCGCGTCGCTGTTTACAAGATTGAAAGGCTTCAGATTTTCCTTTCTCCGCTAATCAGATTGTTTATGACCGTATTAGCTCGGCGGTTGTTGGACTTACATGGTCTGACGTTCTGGTGAGCGAACGTTAGGTCGTGAAATCTAATTCTGAATTGAGCCGGCTATTGATGACCAGAGCTTCTGGTTACCATGCTTGCCGTCGAGAAACGATGGATGCAACATTTCCGTTTCAGATCCCATGACTAGCTGTTATATCAGTCAATTATTGCTGGGGAGACGAAACTCCCCGTATTGCTCGTCTCGGCATTACAAGGAAAAAAGGCGAAATTCTTATGGAGCAATCGATTTTTAACTCGCAATTCCACACGTCATACTGTTTTATGATCTCATCATATGCTGCCGTCGCATTCTCCCTTTCCACCACTTGTCGTTTCTCGTCTCGCCAGTTTGAAGGAGACCTTTCAGGCAGTCAAGCTGCTGAGCGTCGTCTCGAAATCGTCGCTCGACTCGGCCAAGCTCTGTGCGTGGCTGAAGAAGCTTCCAGCCGCCACGTCAGCGGAGGAGGCTTTCCAGAAGGTGTCAATCGCCGCTGCGCTTGGGTGCAAGGGCGCCAGCGCCGTTGTCAAGGTAACGCTTTGTCCTCTTTCAAAGCCAAGGCGAGACCCTTGTAACCCACGTCAGCGGAAAGGGCCTTCCAGAAGGTTTCGACCGCCGCTGCGCTCGGGTGCAAGGGCGCCAGCGCCGTTGTCAAGGTAACGCACCCGTTTTGAGGCGCCTCACAACAACACCCGTCCTCTTTCCAAGTCAAAGGGAGGCTTCTATGTTATCGTTATACTTGTTTCTCTTTTTCATGACTACGTTTTGCTTGCTACTTTGTTCTTCTCTGTGATTACGGTTATACGTTCTGTAGTTAGACCTCTCATTTGCGCTGGCGTCTCTTATGCACACTCCCTTCGTGCTGTCGCACCTCCTTTCTTGGCAGGAAGCGGAGCCCCTCTTCTCGACAGCAGCATCCTCGTCGTCCCTCGACCAGCTGTTCTACGCTGCAGCCGGCATACAGATCCTCAAGGTGAGGCAAGGTGATGCATTTGAGCGTTAGGGAGCTCACTTGCTGGGAGTGAATCTTCCTCTTCGCCCGTCGACAGCTGTTCTCTGCTGCAGCTGGCACGCAGATCCCCAATGTGAGGTAAGGAGACACAGTTGGGAGGAGGGTGACACAGTCAGAGAGAAGCGAGCTCACTCCTTGCAGAGAGTGAATTCTCTTTTGTCTACATCATCCTTTCCTTGATTCTCACCCGCGTGCTCATTGCTTTCATCCCTGCGCTCCTCCCCCACAAATGCTATCAGGCCAACAAGTGGAGCACTGGGTCCGTGCCTTCAGGCCTCAAGAAGGCTGCTGCTGCTATCCTCGTAAGCCTTTAACCATGCAACTAACTTCAGCCCCTCATTGTATTCGGCGTTAATGCCACGTGTGGCTGTGTTCACTTTCCCGTGTTCGTCGCCGTCTGCATGATTTGTTCCGGCTTTTTTTTTTTGGAAAGCTTTAACATAATAGATTTTTCTGTTGTACATTAACAGGCACTGAAGCAGGCGGATGGCACGTGGGCGACGGGGAAGGACGGCCAGGGGTCCGTGGCTGCTGCGGGCGTGGCTCTCGAGGCGCTGGCTGCACTCAAGGAGCTGGGTCTGGTGGACGAGAAGCAGGTGAGGGTGGTGAGAAGGAGGGATTAATGGTGGTGCGGTTAGGTGAAATGCGGTGCTGCGGGCGTGGCTCTCGAGGCACTGGCTGCACTCAAGGAGCTGGGGCTGGTGGACGAGAAGCAGGTGGGAATTGAGCTAGGTGAGGGATGGGAAAGGTGAAAGTGAGAGGTAGTGCTGCTGCGGGGATTGGGATTGGTACTGGTGCAGAAACGTGCAGTGTGGTGCTGCCGCGGGTGTAACTCTCGAAGAGCTGGCTGCACTCAAGGAGCTGGGGCTGGTGGACGAGAAGCAGGTGAGGGTGGTGAGGAGGGATTAATGGTGGTGCGGTTAGGTGAAATGCGGTGCTGCGGGCGTGGCTCTCGAGGCACTGGCTGCACTCAAGGAGCTGGGGCTGGTGGACGAGAAGCAGGTGAGGGTGGTGAGAAGGAGGGATTAATGGTGGTGCGGTTAGGTGAAATGCGGTGCTGCGGGCGTGGCTCTCGAGGCACTGGCTGCACTCAAGGAGCTGGGGCTGGTGGACGAGAAGCAGGTGGGAATTGGGATGTGTGAGTGCTAGGTGAGGGATGGGAGGGGTTGCTGAAAGGGAGAAGCAGGTGGGGTTGGGTGAGAAGCAGAGGTTCTTATAGGGAGATGATTCTGCTTGGTACTTAACATTTGAGTTGTTTCTTTCTAAGCTGTACGCACCTGATAAAACTCTTTGTTGAAGCGTAGTTAATGGACTTTCTTAGCTCGTTCCTTAGTGAGTCGATGTTTTATTGCTCTGCGTGTTCACGTGACAGTGCTCTGATGTGTGCATTGTGTGCCATGTGGCAATGCTTCGCTCTGCATGTGGCAGGTGTCTGCGGTTACAGATGCTGTTGGCTCGCTCTTCTCTCTCCTCACAACTGACTGTAAGGAACGCCTCCCTTTACTCGCCGCACGACCCTTCGTCTCGCCCTGTTAAGTTCATTCAATTGTCAACTTGCCCTTTTCCCTCCTCACAATAGTCAATTGTATGGATCTCTCTCCTCCCGCCCTCGCCACTGCGTCAGCCCTCACGGGTTACCTCGCCCTCGCCTCCACTCTCTCCTCCCCTCGCTGTTTTCGCCCTGCCGCGTTCCCCCTCCCGTCCCTCTCCTGCCTGTCTCCCCAATCTCCTCCGTTCACCCCGCTCCCCTGACCCCGCCCGCTCCCCTCTTCCCGCTTCTCCCACGTCCAGCCGATCCTAGCGGCAACGCCGTCTCGTTCTTCTCGGCCTCCCCCGCGGAGGGCGGGGCTCTCGTCGCCACCGCGTCAGCAATCACGGGCTACCTCGCGCTCGCCTCCACCCTCGCCTCCCCGCTCGCCGTGCGCCCCCCCAAGGTGGCGGAGGCGGGGCGCTATCTGGTGGCGGCGTTGCCCCTCTCCCTTGCGGAGGCCGCTGCCTGGGCTGAGGCCCTCGCAGTGCTTGATAACAACCCGTGAGTTGGATGAGGAACAGAGAGGAGGGGGAGGGAGGGAGTGGGGGGAGCGAGTGGGAGGCTGAGCGCTATCTGGTGGCGGCGATACCTCTCTCCCTCGCGAAGGCCGCTGCTTGGGCTGAGGCCCTCGCAGTGCTTGGGTGGGGGAGGGGGGAAGGGAACGGGGAAGTGGAGTTAGTCAGCCTCTGATGCGCTGTATACTTCTCCGTTCTTCCCCCGCGTTACACGTAATTCCTGTCTTTCTCATTCACCACACATTCTCTCTCGTGTGCCTTCCCCCTCGCCATTCTCTCATGCTAATCTCCTGTTCCTCCTTTCTTTACCCTCCTCTGTTTGTAATCCCTTTCTTCACATTTGGTTTCCTCTTCCGCTCTCTTTAACTCAACCTGTCCACCTCCAGTAATCTCCTCCCCATCCCACTTTTTCCCCTCCACTTCCCTCCCTCTTCCCTACCCTCCTCCCTCTTCACCTCCCGTTTCAAATTTTCCCTCGTTCACCCCCCCCTTCCCACTCTCCACCCCCCTCCCTTGTCGGCCATCCACCATCGCTTCGGCTATCCACCCTCCGCCCATCCACTGCAGCATCTTTGTGCCCATCTTCCTCTCGTCTCCTGGCCACATCTCCATCTCTGCAGACCCCACGCTCACTGTAAGCCGTCCCTCCTCCCATAAGCACGCTTGCTCACTGTGAGTCCACCCTTCCCCCAGTAAGGCAGCATCTCTGTGCAGTGCCCATCTTCCTCCGTCTCCCGGTCACATCTCCATTTCTGCTGACCCCACGCTCACTGTAAGTTCGTCCTGGCCCCAAATAAGCACCTTCGCTCACTGTCAGTCCTTCCTCACCCTCTTAAGCACACCCATTCGACATTCGCGCTTCCGCCCGCGCGCCCCTTGTAACTTACAAGACCCCTTCTGCCAGTCAGTTCACTGTGTCTCCCTCCCAGCCCTCTCCTGCTGAACCTCCTCCCAGCTCCGCATACTCTCTCAATTCAAAATTCCTCCATTCCACCTTTCACTCTCATGGTCCTCTTCTCTCCCCCCGCCACCCTGTGTGACTGCAGGTGAGAGTGACAATAGCACTGGGAGGGAAGGTGCCAGGCGTGGCGGTGAATCTGCAGAGTGCCACTATCTACTCTCTCCGTCCCTAGTTCATTCTCACGAGTTCCCCCCCCCCCCCCCCCTCCACCCCCCGTTCCCCCCTTCCCCTCCCCCCTTTGTGTGACTACAGGTGAGTGTGACAACAGCGCTGGGAGGGAAGGTGCCAGGCGTGGCAGTGAAGCTGCAGAGTGCCACTATCGGGGGCGGCAGTGCTGCATCCGGCAAGGAGCTGGCCACAGGCAAGGACGGCATCTCCTTCTCTGCCAAGCCCTTCTCTAAGGCCTCCACCCTGGGAGTGTACACGCTCAAGTTCAAGGTGAGAGAAAGTCAATGCAAGTCACGAAATGAGTGAGTATGAATGGTTTGAGAGTTAAATGGAGGGTGGCAGTGCTGCGTTGGGCAAGGAGCTCACAGCATGCAAGGACGGCCTCTCCTTCTCCGTTTTGCCCTTCTCCAAGGCGTCCACCTGAGGGTGTACACGCTCAAGCTTAAGATGAGAGAGCTAAGTCCGTGCAAGTCAATGCAGTCATTGGAGGAAAGGAGCTGGCTGCCGGCAAGGATGGCGTCTCCTTCCTTTTCCAATCCCTCTGCTTCTTTCCGAGGCCATTCAGTGCCTGCATATTGTCTCGTATCTCACGTGCCCTGCTTTTTCCCCTCCCCCCTCAATGCTGTGCCTGCTTTTGATCCTCCCCCCCTCTGCCTGCGCCTTCCACCCCTCCTCCCACCGCGCTCTCTCCCTTCCCAACTCCCTGCTTCCTCGCTCCCAGATCACCCCCCCTGCAGAATCAGCCTTCATTGTCGGCAGCGCTTCAGTGGAGCGCCCACTGCTGCTCTCCGCGGCCATGGCAGTCACTCAATCACCTGTGCCTGCTTCTCTCCTTCCCACCCTCCTTCTCCTACTGCTCTTGCGCTTTCCTCGCTCCCAGATCACCCCCCCTGCGGAATCGGCCTTCATTGTCGGCAGCGTTTCAGTGGAGCGCCCACTGCTGCTCTCCGCGGCCATGGCAGTCACTCAATCACCTGTGCCTGCTTCTCTCCTTCCCACCCTCCTTCTCCTACTGCTCTTGCGCTTTCCTCGCTCCCAGATCACCCCCCCTGCGGAATCGGCCTTCATTGTCGGCAGCGTTTCAGTGGAGCGCCCACTGCTGCTCTCCGCGGCCATGGCAGTCACTCAATCACCTGTGCCTGCTTCTCTCCTTCCCACCCTCCTTCTCCTACTGCTCTTGCGCTTTCCTCGCTCCCAGATCACCCCCCCTGCGGAATCGGCCTTCATTGTCGGCAGCGCTTCAGTGGAGCGCCCACTGCTGCTCTCCGCGGCCATGGCAGTCACTCAATCACCTGTGCCTGCTTCTCTCCTTCCCACCCTCCTTCTCCTACTGCTCTTGCGCTTTCCTCGCTCCCAGATCACCCCCCCTGCGGAATCGGCCTTCATTGTTGGCAGCGCTTCAGTGGAGCGCCCACTGCTGCTCTCCGCGGCCATGGCAGTCACTCAATCACCTATGCCTGCTTCTCTCCTTCCCACCCTCCTTCTCCTACTGCTCTTGCGCTTTCCTCGCTCCCAGATCACCCCCCCTGCGGAATCCGCCTTCATTGTCGGCAGCGCTTCAGTGGAGCGCCCACTGCTGCTCTCCGCGGCCATGGCAGTCACTCAATCACCTGTGCCTGCTTCTCTCCTTCCCACCCTCCTTCTCCTACTGCTCTTGCGCTTTCCTCGCTCCCAGATCACCCCCCTGCGGAATCGGCCTTCATTGTCGGCAGTGCATCGGTGGAGCGCCCTCTGCTGCTCTCTGCCTCCATGGCAGTCACGGGCATGTCTGTGGCTGTGCTGGACAGTGATGGCGCCACTCCTGAAGCCGAGAAGAAGTGAGTATCTTTAGGCAGTGAAATTCTAGGCCTGGTTCAGTCCTGTGTGCGGGTCTGTTGTGGTGAAGGCAGTGAGAGTGCTGCTCTCTGCCGCCATGGCCGTCACGGGCGTGTCTGTGGCTGTGCTTGACAGTGATGGCGCCACTCACGAGGCCGAGAGGTAGTGAGTGTGTAGAGGTAGTTGTTGTGGGTGTGTCCGGGTCGAGGGACCAGGGTGAGTGCGCGTTTTATCGGGTGCATGTCCGCTAAGCTGCGGTGTGTTGAGGTTAGTAAGAGAATTGTTTTTTTTTTTTTCTTGTTCTCATTCTCTTTGCAGTGTGGAGGTTTCTTTTTGGCTCCTAATATCCTCCACCCTCCTAATCTCCCATGCTCCCCTTCTTCCCCGCCCCTCCCCGCCCTTCCCCGCCAGGCTGGACTTTGAGAAGAGGACAAACTTCACCGACCTGTCTGCCACCCACCTGCAGAAGCTGCGCGTGTCTCTCTCTCTCTCTACACCCTCGGGGAAGGCCTTCGTTCCCCACCAGGTAAGCGGCACCTAGAGCACTCCTTCCTTTCGTACGGCTCAGGAAACAGAGTACTTCCACGAGGTAAAGGCCTCCCAGCGTCCCAGGCAATACTTCCTGCACAAACCCTGTCACAAAGGAGTTGCTTGCCAGGATGGCCTTTAATCAGCTGGAAGGTCGCCCTCAAAAGAGTGCTGCTACGCTAACATCTTTTCTTCTCTTGCCTCGCTCCTCTCTCCTTCCTTCCCCCTCCTCCCCCTCACCCCCCCTCGTTTTCCTCCACTCCTCCCGCGACGTCCCTCAGGCCGTGCTGCAGCTGGTGAACAGCATCGGAATGGCCTACTCCTTCCTTCTCAAACAATCTGGCAGCACCCTCTCAGTTCAGCTCGTGAGTGGTCCTTTCACTGATGCAACTCGTGAGTACAGCTCTTTCGGCTGCTGCCCTGCTGTCCTGTCCAGTCCAGTCCAGTCCACTGCTCTCGTGGTCTGCCCACTGCCCTGCTAGCCTGGCTGTCCTATGCTCTGGTAGTACTTGTGTTTTTTTGCAGGTCTGACACTCTTCATCGAGTGGCCCAACTCTTCTACCACTTCTAAATCTCCTCCGCTCTTGTTCCGCGCGCTCTTTGCACTGCTTCACACCGACGCCAACAGGAGCTGCTGGAGTGATGGGACGGCTTTTCTACCACCCCCCTCCACTCCCTTGCTCCCCCTTCTTTGCTCTCCGTCCTCACTCCCTCCCACTCCTTAGCACCGTTCCCCACTTTCGCCAACAGGAGCTCTTGGAGCTGTTGGACTGCCTCTTCTACCACTCGGGCGACTACACTCTGAAGCTCATCGCCGGAGACCTAGTCATGGATAACGCCTTCCACTGGCAGCTGGGCTCTGTTCCCATCAACTCCCTCTACTCCCTTGCTCCCCGTTCCTTGCCCTCTCCACAACAGGAGCTACTGGAGCTGATGGAGCGCCTGTTCTACCACTCGGGCGAGTACACTCTGAAACTGATCATCGGCGATCAAGTCATGGATAACGCGTTTGACTGGCAGCTGGGCTCTGTTGACCTCGACCTGCCTGTTGCCCCTGAGACTGCCCCCAAGCTGCCCGCCCGCCCTGAGTCTCTGGCTGAGAGATTCGCTGCCAAGCCCGAGATTGCGCATATCTTCCGCAAGCCGGACCCCCGGCCAGCGTTCGTCGTCTCGTACTCGTTTGTGGCGCTCGTGCTGCTGCCGCTTGTGGTGCTGCTCGTGGGGGTATGTGATGGTGGGGGGGGTATGTGTATGGGAGGGTTATGTGCTTGTGCGGGGAGGGGATGGGATGTACGTGCTTGAGAGGTTGGGGGGGGGGGGGGGGGGGGGGGGGGGGGGGGGAAGAAGGCATTTGGGGGGGAGGGGAGGGGGAGAGTGTACATGCTTGTGGGGACGATGAGAGGGGGATGGGAGGGAGGATGGGAGGGGGGTGTACGTGCTTTGGTGTGTCACCCTTCCCCTTGTCTCCACCCCTCCCTGCTAACCAGAGCTCTCCATTTCTCTCCACCGCTCTCCAACATAATCCCTGCCCTCTCACCTATGCCTCCCTGCTCCCCACCCCTTCCCACCCCTCCACCCTCCCTCCCACCCCTCTCCCCCCTTCCCATCCCTCCCGACCGCACAGCTGGCAGTGCTAGGAGTGAACCTCAAGGCCTTTCCCTCCGCGGGTGTGCCTCTTCTCTCAGCTCTGGCCTTCCATGGGGGAATCGCCGCTCTTCTGCTTCTCTACGTCGCTTTCTGGGTGCAGGTATGTAGACGTGTACATGTGTTGCAATATTGACTCCTGGCAACCATAGCTTGTACGTGCTTTGGTTTGTTGCTTCACTCTCTCCTAATCATCCACCATAACCCTTGTACTGCTTGCGCTCCCCTTGCCTCAATCTCCCCTCCTCTCAAGGCAGGTGAATCTGTTCACCACACTCAAGCTCATCCTTCTCCTTGCTGTGCTCACAGCTATTCACGGGGTGACTTTTGAGTCAACTCAAAAGTAACTGTCATGATCCTTTTCCTGCTTCCTCGTCCCCTGCTTCTATCTCCCCGCAGGTGAATCTGTTCACCACTCTCAAGCTCATCCTTCTCCTTGCTGTGCTCACAGCTATTCCCGGCCACCAAGTTCTCTCCTACCTTGCTGACGTGGCACCTAAGGCCAAAACGGAATGAGCTGTTTCAGCACAAATACCGGTGCTATCATGAGTGCAGTGCGGGCTCTACCACCAAATGTCCTCGAATTCATAAAAAGGGTACATTCCTTGAACTTTTTGTCTCATGGTTGCGAGAATTTTTAGGTACTAAGTCTTCTGTGTTGAGGCTGATCTTCGAGACCAATATGAGATGACAGTCCGTTTGAACAAGGTTTACTTCACTGGCACGAAAATTATGTTGATGGTGGTAGCATGTTCTTCCCGAGAGCGGAACTCGATATATTGCATCAAAGAGTCACTGTAACGAGTCTGCCGTGTGGATGACTCAACCTCTGGTGTCAGCTCCAATAGTCCTCCCTCCACACACCTTCTCGAAGAACTTATGTAAACAATGTTTACATAAACTCTGCGTTCAGGGTGGATGTGTCAGGGGCAGATAGCGCGAGTAACGATGCAATTATATGCGGTTGGATGCGAGTTTGTGGGGGAAAGCACGGTTCGTCCACAACCTGAACTTACTCGAAATTGCTTTCAGGAAAGCAGGACCTTCTGGAGCATTCCCTTCTCTCGAGGTTCAGGTGGTCACTTCAAACACAGCAGGCCATATCGCCAGGCCATAGCATTGGCCCGCTTCTGCCTTCTGGGTGCCTTAGTTATTACGCGGGGAGCTTCCTCAGCTTGTCATCGCGAGGATTGTAACCCTAAATCGTAGTCGCAACGGTAACCTTGGAGTGGACTCAGAGGCGCAACTGCAGCTGTAGTTGCGGCTTGAGAAGCCATCGAGCCCCTTCACCACCGCCCCGTCCGTCGATCCTACGGCATCTGGTTTCGAACCGCGCTTTACTGTCGTCGATCCACTCTTTCTTCCACCGTTACCGCACTTAACCGCTTGCGTCGCAGCTCTTGTTGCGTCGTGCGTCGCAGCTCATTCGGAGGGACAGGATTCCTTGGTCGTGCTTTTGGGACAGGATTGCTGAATTCGCTAGTCGCATCACGATCAAGTAGTCCAGGCGCTGACGAATCTCGAGATCTGCTGGTCGATCTGCTACCGGATTCTCTAGATTTGATTCTCTAGGCGCCATGAATCTCGGAGCGATGAAGAATATGAAGGTGCCGCCCGGAGCGGGCGGCGCGATCGGATCGGTGCTGCGCGCTGCGGTGGTAGGCGGTGCGGTGCTGTACGGTGCGGTGCACAGTCTGTACAACGTGGAGGGAGGCCACCGCGCGATCGTCTTCAACCGGTTCTCGGGGATCAAAGACACGGTGGGTTCCGGTGTGGATTGGCTCAGTACGGTGCTGAGCGGCTAGGCGCGGTGGGTGTGGTACGTTCTCGAGCTCGTATTCGTCTCATGCATTGGTCGGGTTTGTTTCAATTCTTCCCGTTATAACAGTCTCGTTAGGTTCTTACGGATATAAGGCCTCAGGTCTCCTCCAGGTGCCCTAACCCCGTTTCCTCCTCTTTTCCCCCTCACCTCTTCCTCCGCTTATCTCCCAACCCCGCTTCCTCCCCGCTAAACGCATGTCATTATCCCCGGTATTGAGTGGCGCCCTACATACACAGTAGCGCGGCGTTTCTTTCATCTCCCGTACACCCCCTTTCCCCCCTCCCCCTTCCCAACCTCTCCTTCTCGCGTCATTTCCACGTTCCTCCCCGTTATCCCGGTCAAAAACACTTGATAAGCACCCCGTGCTCTCCGTCCCTCCCTCCCTCCCTCCCCCCTCTTCCCCCCCCCTCCCTCTCCTTCCAGGGGTTGTCAAACGTTTCTTTCATTCACGACGTGTAGGCAAGGCTGCTTTGGGGCGCTCCCTAATTCGTACACCACATATTCCCATCCCAACCCATCCCAACCCATCCCAACCCATCCCAATCCATCCCAACCCACAGGTATATCAGGAGGGGACGCATATCATGATCCCCGGTATTGAGTGGCCCATTATCTACGACGTGCGCGCGCGACCGCATCTCGTGGAGAGCACGTCCGGCAGCCGCGATTTGCAGATGGTGGGCCTCTTTTGTCCTGCGTGGCTGGGCGTGTTGTTTAGTGGGTGGGTTAGTCGGGTTTGGTTGGTGGAAGGTAGCAGATGACAGCTCACTGGTCAGACAGGTGCTATTCGGGTGCTTAGCTAAAAGTGCTTATCGCATTACAACTGTTTACAGAGCCTCTTTTCATTGTTTACCACGTCAAGGTCCCCACCCCACACCCCTTTCCCCTCTCCCTCTTTCCCCTTCCTCTTTCCCCTCGCTGTCCGCCCTTCAGTCCTCATTTCCCCTTTTTCCTCTGCTCTCCTTTCCCACTCCTTCAGGTCCGCATCACCCTGCGTGTTTTGACGCGCCCCATGTCCGACCGCCTCCCCACCATCTACCGCACGTTGGGGCAGGACTATGCTGAGTGGGTGCTTAATGTTCTTACTCCCCGCTTCCCACTCCCCGCTTCCCACTCCCCGCTTCCCACTCCCCGCTTCCCCCTCCCCACTTCCCACTCCCCGCTTCCCACTTCCCACTTCCCCCTCCCCACTTCCCCCTCCCCGCTTCCCACTTCTGACCTGTCTCCTTGTCTCTTCCCTCTCAGGTCCGAATCACCCTGCGTGTTTTGACGCGCCCCATGTCCGACCGCCTCCCCACCATCTACCGCACGCTCGGGCAGGACTATGCGGAGCGCGTGCTGTTGTTTTGCTTGCTCTTCCCTTAACCTCACTCGCCCTCCCTCCCCTGCCCTTCTCTCAGGTTCGCATCACGCTCCGAGTGCTCACTCGCCCCATGTCCGACCGCCTCCCCACCATCTACCGCACGCTCGGCCAGGACTATGCGGAGAGGGTGCTGCCTTCAATTGTTCAAGAGACGCTGAAATCCGTGGTGGCTCAGTATAACGCCAGCCAGCTCATCACACAGCGAGAGGTGCGTGAATGTACTGAGCGGTACTGAGCGATACTGAGCTGTGAGAGCATTTCTCCAGGTGAAGACTGGGGTGCGGGGAGGGGAGCAGAGGGTGCTGCCGTGGATCGTGCAGGAAACTCGTGCAAGGGGATGGGGGAAGGGGATGGGGGAAGGGGATGGGGGAAGGGGATGGGGGAAGGGGATGGGGGAAGGGGATGGGGGAAGGGGATGGAGGAAGGGGATGGGGGAAGGGGATGGGGGAGAAGAGCGACGTGCAATGAGAGCTCGCCCAGTCCGCATGGCTGGGCGTGCAATGAGGGGAGAGGGGACGTTGGGGCAAGGCAATGCAGGGTGGGTGCTGCTGTGCTGCTCCCCTTCATCTACCGCACACTGGGACAGAGCAGCAAGCTTCAATATTGTGCTGGATGACGTGTCGACCTGACACATCACGAACCTCACATCATGAACCTGGTGTGTTTTGAGTCGACTCAAAACACACGTGTCGATCGGACACATCACGAACCTCACATCACGAACCTCACATCACGAACCTCACATCACGAACCTCACATCACGAACCTTACGTTTTGCCGCGAGTTCAGCCCTTCCCCCTTCGACCCTTGCTTCTCCCCCATCTCTTCAACCCAGTCACCTTGTTACCTCCCTGGATGATGTCTCAGTTACCAACCTCACGTTCGGGCGCGAGTTTGCTTTTGAGTGGACTCAAAAGGAGTTCACCCATTGATTTTTGAGTCGACTCAAAAATCAACCTCACGTTCGGGCGCGAGTTTGCTTTTGAGTGGACTCAAAAGGAGTTCACCCATTGATTTTTGAGTCGACTCAAAAATCAACCTCACGTTCGGGCGCGAGTTTGCTTTTGAGTGGACTCAAAAGGAGTTCACCCATTGATTTTTGAGTCGACTCAAAAATCAACCTCACGTTCGGGCGCGAGTTTGCTTTTGAGTGGACTCAAAAGGAGTCCACCCATTGTTTCCAATTCTTCCCTTGAACCAACCCCCTGCCATTTCCCCACCTTCCCGCAGTCTGTGAGTCGAGAAATACGCCGTAACTTGGAGGACAGAGCAGTTTCAACATATCTCTCGATGATGTGTCGCTCGCGAGTTGACAGCAGCCACTGAAGCGAAGCGAAGCAGGTGGCGGCACGGGAGGCCAGATTCACGCGGTTTGGCACTCCCTTACTTACTCCTTCACCCCTTACTGACCATGTTTCACCTGCACCCCTTCACCCCTTACTCCCTTACTTACTCCTCCACCCCTTGAACCCACCCCCCCTCCCCTTTTCTTCCCCCTCCCCTTGTGATGAGGTTGTTTTTGAGACGTCTCAAAAACAACCTCATCACACGTGGCTATCACTTACTTACTCCTCCACCCCTTGAACCCCCCCCCCTTCCCCCCACCCCTTTTTCTTCCCCCTCCCCTCTCCCTCCCCCTCCCCCCCCCCCCCTTCCCCCCTCCCCTCTCCCTCCTTCCCCCCCCCCCCCCCCCCCCCCCCCCTCCCCCCTCCCTCCCCCCCCCCCCCTCCCCCCCCCTCCCCCTCCCCCCTCCCCCTTCCCCCAGTCTGATGATCGGGAGATCCGTATTCTGGAAGACCGAGCGGCCAGTTTCAACATACACCTCAATGCACGCCAACTTCACAGCAGCCATCGAGGCGAAGCAGGTGGCGGCACAGGAGGTTGGTTTGGTGTGACACGGCTTTACTCCCCCTTCCACCGCCTGATCCCCACCTTCCCCTATCCCCCTCTCCTCCCCTCCTCCCCTCCTCCCCTCCTCGCCTCCCCCTCCCTCCTTCCCTCCCAACTGTCAGTCTTTAAGCCGGGAGATTCGCCGTATACTCGAGGACAGAGCCTCCAGTTTCAACATCCCTCCTCCCCCCTTGCTTGCCCTTCATCCCACCACCCACCTCCACCTGAACCTCTCCTCCCTCCTTCCCTCCCAACTGTCAGTCTTTAAGCCGGGAGATTCGCCGTATACTCGAGGATAGAGCCTCCGGTTTCAACATTTCTCTCGATGATGTGTCGATCACCACGTTCGGGCCCGAGTTCACAGCAGCCATTGAGGCGAAGCAGGTGGCGGCACAGGGAGGCCAGATTCACATGCCATGGGTGTGAATCTGACATGTGGTGGTGACACACCCTTTCTTCCCCCCCCCCCCCCGACCCCTTGCTTGCCCTTCACTCCACCCCACCACCCACCTCCACCTGAACCTCTCCTCCTTCCCTCCCTCCCCTCCCCAGTCTGTAAGCTGTCGCCGGATTCTCGAGGACAGAGGAGCGTCTCCCAACATTGCTCTGGATGACGTGTCGATCACCAACCTCACGTTCGGTCGCGAGTTCACCCCTTGAAACCCCATCCTTCCCCCCACCCTACTCACCAGTCTGTGAGTCGGGAGATTCGCCGCATTCTGGAAGACCGAGCAGCGTCTTTCAACATCGCTCTGGATGACGTGTCCATCACCAACCTCACGTTCGGGCGCGAGTTTACGGCGGCCATCGAGGCGAAGCAGGTGGCGGCGCAGGAGGCAGAGCGCGCCAAGTTTGTGGTGCAGAAGGCGGAGCAGGACAAGCGGGGAGCTATTATTCGAGCTCAGGTGTGTGCGTGCGTGCGTGCGTGTGTGTGTGCGTGTGTGTGTGTGTGTGTGCGCGCGCATGTGTAAGGGGGAGGAGAGGGGGTGAGAGGGGGAGTAGCACTCACAGGAGGCAGAGCGCGCCAAGTTTGTGGTGCAGAAGGCGGAACGGGACAAGCGGGGAGCGATCATCCGAGCGCAGGTGAGCTGGGAGCACAGGTGGCATGCATGCATGTATGCATGTATGCATGTGAGGGGGAATTTTTGAGACGTCTCAAAAATCCACTCTTTACACGGAGCACAGGTGGCATGCATGCATGTGAGGGGGAATTGCTATGCTGTAGGAGAGGGTAGGCAGAGCGCGCCAAGTTTGTGGTGCAGAAGGCAGAGCAGGACAAGAGGGGGGCGATCATCCGAGCTCAAGTAAGCATGGCTGTTGTGTATGGATGTTGGTATAAGGGAGGAGGGGCGGGAAGCGGGGGGAGGGGGGGGGGGGGTGCCTTACATTCTTAGAGGAGGCAGAGCGCGCCAAGTTTGTGGTTCAGAAGGCGGAGCAGGACAAGCGGGGGGCGATCATCCAAGCTCAGGTGAGCCGGGTGGGAGGGAGGAGTAATGGGGTATTCATGCATACTCCTCCCACCTGCAATGGGGTATTCATGTGTGAGTGCGGGTGTATGTGAGAGGAAATGTGCTCTCTACAGCACGCACAGGAGGCACAGCGTGCCCAAGCTTGTGGTGCCAACGGCCGAGCAGGACAAGCAGGGGGCGACCATTTGAGAACCAGTGAGATGGAATCAAAAGTTCTATTATTTTCTCCCATTGCCAACAACTCAGCTATATTTATGTGCACAGCTGATACGAAAAGCCATTGCCAACAACTCAGCTATGTTTATGTGCACAGCTGATTCGAAAAGCTGTTGTTAACAACTCATCCTTCATCGCCACACGTTCCTGTCCTTCCCTCTTTCCTATTGCCCTCTCTCTCCTTCCCCACTTCAACATGAACAACAGGGAGAAGCCACGAGTGCGCAGCTGATAGGAGAGGCCATAGCCAACAACCCCTCATTCATCACCCTCAGGAAGATTGAGGCGGCGAGGGAGATTGCCAACACACTGGCCAATAGCAGCAACCGCGTCTTCCTCTCGTCTGATTCGCTGCTTCTCAACTTGGCTGACGAGAAGACTGATGTTCCGCCGGCTCCTGCTGCTGCTGCCGGAGCAAAGAAAAAGTAAAAATGGCTTTTGAATGGTACTTAATTAGCTATTTTTGACATAACGTGCACGTATGTAGACGGAGAAGGAAGTTGAAAATAACACATGCACAGAAATCGAGTGCGTGCATGAAATAGAGACCCGTACGCGCAGTCTGTGCCGTCAGCTACAAAATCCGTACTAGGTGCATACATGAAGTAGTTCCGAAGCCTGATGTATGAAATGCAATGCCTCAAATGATTACTACCGAGAATACTTCACCCCATTTGATCAAGCTGCACATTGAAAATGACATGTACCGTAGGACTCGAGTTAGGCAGGAAAAATCTAAGTGTATCAGTGCTGTCATGCATAAACCTTGGAACGAGGTTAGTGGGCACCTTGCAATGACCGAAAAGCTTCATTCCATGGCTGCCTGGTGCCTGCAACTTTCGCCGCTGGTTGGAAGCACAAAAATATTTGACGGCAAGTTGACGGCGATCGTCCCATACAACGTCAAACGTCATCTGCAAACCAAAAACACCCGAACCCCAGAAACACTAAACAGCGAATTGCTGTGATCTGTTACCTGTTTTTCTCGAAACGTCGCAGCACTTGATATTTTTTCGTTACCAGCGGTTTTGATTCGTTCTTGGGAAGCTTTGACTCCCCTCTTCTTCTCCCTGGCCTCTGTCTTCCTGGCCTCCTTTTCCCTCTCCTCTCTTTCTCCAGTCGTTAGGGTTTCCCTTCCTCCCAGCGGCCTTTCCGCTCAGCTTCCCACAACCACAGCCATGGCAAGTCCTCCTGATCCTTACCCATCTGTAGCTCGTGTGCCTAACTGTGCGTGCTTTGGTTAGTGGATTTGCCTTTTGCAGTGGTCGCGCGGGGCGTTCTGTGTGGATGAGTGTGGGATGTGAGGGTTTTTGTCAGGGAGGTTATGATTTGGGCTTCGCATTCGGTTCACCGTGTAGCAGGGTGTAGGGGCTCGTTAGGCGGGTTGGGGAAGGTCCAGCAAGTGCGATGGCTGTTCCTCTTCGCACATTTGTGCGATGGCGGGTTGGGGAAGGTCCATTGCCGGAGTTCGCGGGAAGAGTTTGTAGCGCAAGGATTTCGGAGCACGGGGCTGATGGTTGTTTACCGTAGCTCGCGTTTGTCCAGTCGAGGTTGCGTGTGGGTTTTTTAGAGCCTAGATCCGTCTCTGACTCGAATCTTCCTGGCATTGAGGGGGCCAGGTCGTGTCGCATTGCGGTTGAAGTGTGATTCAGAATCATTATTCACTTGTTTGCTTAATGGACCGCGTTCCACGGACTGATTTCTTAACTCGCATGCGTCATGAAATGGTTAATAGCTACCGCCTTCGTTCTCGTTACCAACCTCTTACCGTTATCCTCTTCTGTTCCCTCATTTTCAAGCGCGCCCCTCCCTTCCCTCTCTTTTCTCCCTCGTTCCCCACTCCCCCCATCACGTCCCGTCTCCTCTCTGATTTTCTGCGTCCCCGTTATGTCTTCCAATCGAATTCTCTCTTCGTTGCCTTTTCTCTCGTCTCATCTCGTTACAGCGTCTCGTTTGGTCGGAATCATCCTTGTCTCGTGTCCCTAAGTCGTTGAATAAGGCCTTTCTGCTTGTTTTGCCTTGTCTCCCCCTCACACGGGCCCCCCACCCCCTCCTCCCCCCTCCCTCCCCGCAGTCTTCCAAGAAGAAGGTGAAAGAAGTGAAGGAGGAGAAGGGTCCCGCTGGCCCGCAGGTTCGCGAGGGCGAGATCGTCTTCGGCGTCGCACACATCTTCGCGTCCTTCAACGACACCTTCGTGGTGAGAAACATTTCGCGCAGTTCGTTCAGTGTCACATTTGTGCCACGGTAGTGTCTGTCTGTTTTGTGTTATCTTCAACTCGTCTTCCTGTCTGCGATCCAATCGCGTTCGATCCATAGCTTCTGATCCGGCGCAACATGCACACACCATCTCCTCTCCCACCATCTCCTCCCCTTCCCCTCCCACCATCTTTCTCCCGTCTCGATCTTCTCTTCCCCTCCTTCCATTACCTGCAGCACGTGACAGATCTCTCCGGCAAGGAAACCATGTGCCGAGTCACTGGTATGCCCCTCTATTTTCCCCCAAAAATCATGTAGCGCAATCGTAGGTTCCAAGCCTCCGTATAGCTCTCCGTGCTTACTGCCACGGCCCCTTCCCCCCTAGTTTCGAAGAGTGATGTCGACGCGTCAGGGTTTCCTGTTAGTTCGTGCGTTCAGTGTAGCCGTGCCTTCTGCACCGGGTTACAGCGTATGGTAATGGTTACCACGCCACGTCGCCGTGCGCAGCCCAGTGCCAAATTCTCGCTCCCGCTCCGCAGCCTTAGTACTAGGTCGAACCTTTCGCTGGTGGAGTTACTAGAAGGAGCCTACCGCGCAGTTTTTAGTTTCATTCGTTTGAATCCGCCGTCTGATGTGTGCTGTAAGCACGACGTTTCCAGGTTCCGGCGGGTCGCTCCCCCCTCCCCCCGCATCCTCACGCTCTTCCCCCCTCTCCCTTCCCTCTCCCTCCCCCCCCCCCCCCCCCCCCCCCCCTCCCGCTCCTCTTCCCTCCTCCTGACATTGATTTCTTGCTCCTTTGTGTCGTTGGCTCTTTTTTCGTGCGTGGCCAGGCGGGAATCTCTGAGGCGCCTTAGATTTTTTTTTTTTTTGCTCTTTCGTGTTGTTGGCTCTTTTGTTTGTGGGTGGGCAGGCGGCATGAAGGTGAAGGCCGATCGCGACGAGTCGTCCCCATATGCGGCTATGCTTGCAGCGCAGGACGTGGCGATCAGGTGCAAGGTACGTGCTGGCATCAAGGGACTCTCGATCATATCTCCTGACTTCTCTCCCCTAGCGTCCCGCTCACAACGATTCCTGGAAACTACAGGGTCGAAATTGTCTTTTTGTTCCTCATATCTTGCCCCCCCCCCTCCCCGGTCTGCCGCCCCGCCACTCCCACTAACCCCGCCACACCCGCCACCCGCTCCCGTGCCCCCTCACTTCCGCCTCTCACAAGCAGCGCCACAAAGAGCAGCAATCTAATTTAACTTATTTGCCACCGAAACCCTCCATTTCCCCACATCGAGCTTCCTCCTCTCTTCTCTCATTTCCCTCTCACCCCCATCTCCCCCTCTTCCCTTGTCCCCCTCCTTCCCTCCCCTCCCCTTCTCCTTCCTCCTCTTCCCCCCTTCCCTTCCCCACTGTCCTCCCCCACTTCCCCCTTCCGCCAGGAGCTGGGCATCACGGGGCTGCACATCAAGTTGAGGGCCACGGGTGGTAACCGCACCAAGACGCCCGGCCCTGGAGCTCAGTCCGCCATCCGCGCTCTTGCCCGCTCCGGCCTCAAGATCGGCCGCATTGGTACGCACTTTGTCAGCCGTTTGGTTGCTACTTTGAATCATACTAAATCTTTTGTTTCCTGTCTTCCAAATCTGCCCCCGTTCTTTCCATGTAGAGAGCATGAGATTGCCCGATTTCACACCCTTTTTGCTGGATCTAATTGAGAATGTTTTTGTGCTATCATCGCGTTGCAGAGGACGTGACACCTATCCCCACCGATAGCACTCGCAAAAAGGGTGGTCGCCGCGGTCGCCGTCTGTAAACCTTATGCCTTACCACCGTCTCTTGCTGTGCTTCAATGTTTCTAGAATATTGCACTAGCAGCAGTAGCAGCACCTCAGTGCACGCAGCAGCTGAAGCTGCGAAGCAGCAGCAAGGAGAGTCCTTTTAATCCAATAGTGCTTTTATCAGTGCCCAATTGTATTTTCATCTGTGGCATTTTTCCACGAATGTGCAATCAGTACAGTTCCACGTCCGTTTCCAGCTGATGAGATATCCAACAATGCTGGGGAATCTAGCTGGGATTCAAGATAATTGGGCCGATTTTGTAAATGAACGTTGTGTACACAAGAGCCGTACACGAGAGGCATCTCTAACATTCAGGGTTCGTTTGACGCGGTTTAATACGGTCAACCATGTTGAAATCGGTATTCAGTTCACCGATTTATACAATCGCGCACCAGAAAGAACCCTTACAAAGTCAGAGTGCGAACAACTGGGATTTAGGACGCGTCACCTCTTTCTTCAGGAGGGCGATCGATCGTGCACACGATCGGTGTGTCGGGTGTACAGTGCTTTCGCGAGTTTACGAATTATATTGTTTCCATGTTTCGGCGAAATTTGAGAATGTACAGTAAATTGGTCACCACGAAGGTGTCACCTAGGGCTCACGCAAAAAGCCGGCGATCGATCCTGCAGTTTGGCAATTTTGCCCCATGAATTCAAAATCTTGTCACCTGTGGCTCAGTGGGGTCCCGCGATCGAAAATTTGCAGTTGGGCACACTGATATGCACACCGATCATGGCAGGATCGGTGTTTAGCGTCGATTCCGCCTCGACCCTGCGTGTTAAGAAAGAGGTGACGCGTCCTTAGGTTGTTGATTTTGCAAGGTGGCGGTTCACTGGTCGGATGACGTCGCTGACCCGAACAAATGCCGAAGTTCAGTCCTGGCTTGGAATTGCATGCTAGGGGCGTACGTACCTCAGGCTCTGTAACCGGGAGCCTAGCCTGGGGTCCAAATCTCTGGCTCGACTCTGTTTCCTTGGTCCCGAGTCGAAGCAGCGCGTGCCCTCAATTCGGTCATCCCTCTGGAAGCTCGTGTGGGAACAGTCAACAGCCGACTTCCGTTACAGCTGGGCCTCTATCGGAGTCATCGTCGAATGGGCGAAGCTCGACGGCCAGTCGCCGTCTGGTTCGTTATCCGCACCAGCGTAACTTGACGGTCATGCAACACTTTGTCGGGAACACCGAACAGCAACTGTGGCTCAACCGGACAATTCGAACTGCGATCTCATTTTCCCAGTGCGGACGTGTTTGCAAATGCGATCTTTTCGGGCAGAACCAAATGGCTACCCGTGTTTAGGGTTGGGGCTCCCCGTGTTTAGGGTTGGGGCTCCCCTAATCGCATGCCATCCAGATGGGGTTTATGTTTTTCTGACCGCGGGCAGGTTACGACCCATCAGCTTCTTCCAGGCGGACTGTTAGGGATCGCATTTGCGAACCGCGCTGGCCTAATTGGATTGCAGCTGATGTTGTCCCGTGGCTCAACGGTTAGAATTGCAGCAGCGAAACTGGTCATGTGAAGAGGAGGGACACGGCAACGTTCGTGTGCCCATTGAATCCTACTCAACCGCGCTGTAAAGCTATGAAGAGCTCGAAAGCGCAAAGAACCTTGTAATGTCGCGTTGGAATTCAGGGGGCACACCCTTGAAATGACTGACGGCTTAAAGCCCGAGTCCCAAATTGCGGGCCGCGCGGGTCAAGCTTTTAAAACTTGACGAACTAGTGTTTTCAAGGTTTGAAGAAAAGCGTGCCTGCAATTTGGGACTTTTGGGAACTGAACCAACCCCCAGGGCGAAATACGAGGGCGGGCTGGGTTTGGCGAAAAAAACGAAAAAAGCGAAATCGGAATCTTTCGCCAAAACCCTCACCACAAAAACCCCCTCGCGTCAACCTTTTAAAACTTGTGCAATTTGGGCTGCCGGCTTTAATATATACCTCCACCTTAGACATTAGTGGCGACATCCAGTCAGTACCAGCAGCTACCTTCAGTTTCCCTTTTCCGCGGTTGGAGCTTTCTTCTTTTTTCGCGTTAGAGCTTCCTTCGCATGCGGTACAGTAATCGTTAGACACATGACACTGAGTGCCTTCGTGCTCCTCCGTGTCCCCTGTGTTCTCCATGCCCCCCAAGGTACGCGCCGCGTCGAACGATCACGATGTTCCGACGTCGTCCATTAGCGAGTGTGACCATTTCGGAAACTGTTGTAACAAGATGTTTTTAGCCAGCCCATAAGTGAAAGGATTGACAGCAGCCTACTAGCCCTATTTCTTAGGACGTCAAATCAATTGTCGATTACTTCGCAGATACAGGCTCCAGTTTCAGTTCCTGCATACAGTGTACGAAGGTTTTCGCTTGCGTAAACTATTCTTCGCGAAAACACAGTATACGGAGATTATTATGTCGGCCAGACAAAGCCCGCTGGCTGCTCCAGTAATTCCGCGACACGTGTCCCTTGAGAATTCAGGCTTGCACCGCTTGTCGTCCGAGATTCCGGCGTCAGTATCCGTCCGTTGCTCTAACGACCTCGACGACACGGATTCCGTCTTCTCCCTCGCTCTTGATTCCGACGTTCCGTCCGGTCCACCTTCCCCGAAGCTTCCTCATCAAGCCTCGCTGCCTCGTCCGTCTTTTTCCTCGTCACTTCTCGGCGCCTCTCACGCGGCCGCGCCTGCCGATTTCGCAACCGCCGACCTTTTCGTACCGACGAGTTTCGCAAACGCTCATCATTTGGCGAATGACAGTGTTACACCTGCTACGGATGCTGATTCGTCCGTTTCGTCTTCATTCACCTCAGTCGACCTCGCTTCCGCGCGAACCTCCTCTATAAGCACATGCGGACAGCTACAACAGCAACTTATAGCGGGGCCTAGGTCCGATGACGTGGCACAGCGCATCGCGCCGCGGGATGCGGGGGATGCGGATTCGGAGGCGACGGCGGTAGCCACGGCGGCAGTGGCGGGAATTCCGTCGGGCGGCGCGCTAGCAGCGCAGGTGGAGCAGTTTTTGGCGCGAGCGGGGGAGGTGGATCAGGAGTTGCGCGATTTGAAAGTGACTATAGCGAGGCTGCTAGGGTTTGTGGACGACTATCGGCTATTATCAAGCAAAGATGCAGTGGAGGTGCGTTAAATTGTCGATAGTTTTGCTAGCGTGAGCGACCCTTTTGATGAATCGTTTTGTGCTTATAACGAAACACTTCCTGATTCGTTTGGTTTTCCATCCCACCTTTCCTGCCTCCGTTTATTCCTATTTCGCAGAAGCTTGCAGAGAGGATGACGTCAGAGTTGGATCGACTACAAGGCACAGTGACAGGGAACCTGAGAGACCTTATCAGCACCAGCTTTACAGGGGAGCCTGACAGGGTAAATCACCCCAGAAATGACCAGCACTCGGGCAGCCTCAGCAACAGCGGGAAACTGGGAAGCGGAGGGATTGCGGGAGGAATCGGAAGCCTTGGGGTGTGGTTAGGTTCGGGAATTGGCAGCATCGGAATCAATAGCAACAGCGGCAACAATAGCAGCGGCAGCAGTGGCATCAGCAGCAGTAGGGGAGCGGGAAATGCGGCCATGGGGCACATTAAAGCGTCAGTAGCGGCTGCTATGGTGGAGAAGCTATGGCGGCGGCACAAGGAGGCTGGTGACGTGGCACTCCGACTGAACATGGGCGTGAGGGACACCGCCAGGCGAAGGTACGAGTGAGGGTCTCGTAATGAACCGAGGTATCAGTCAGTGTAACGCCTCGCCTCAAATCTAACCCCCGTTTTGGGCCAGTGGGTAGCAAGATGTTACAATCAGGAAGGGCTATAGCAGTGAATGGGGAGTGGAGGAATCATAAGGAGGCTGGTGACGTGGCACTCCGATTGAACATGGGCGTGAGGGACACTGCGAGGAGAAGGTACGAGTGAGGAGATGTAGGGATGGGAAGGGATGGTAAGGGATGGAAAGGGATGGCCTGAGGGGGACATTCATGGGGCACGTTTGGGCGTCTCATGTGCGTGTGGGGATGATGGGAGGGGCTGGTTGGCCTAAGAGGCAGATTAGAGAGCCAGTGGCGGCAGCGATGGTGGAGAAGCTATGGCGGTGGCACAAGGAGGCTGGTGATGTGACGTGGCACTTAGGCTGAATATGGGCGTGACGGACAATGCAAGGAGAAAGAAGGTGCATGGGTGGGATTATGGACCGAGGTGACTTTTGAGTCGACTCAAAAGTCACTGCAAGGAGAAAGAAGGTGCATGGGTGGGGTTATGGACCGGCTGTGGGTGACCCACAGGCTCGAACCACGGGCTGTTTGGAGAGCCTGTGTGCGTGGGTGCATGGGTACACCCACCCACACATATTGAGGTCGTTTTTGAGGCGCCTCAAAAATGACCTCAATGCACAGGCGCGAACCACCGGCTGTTTGGAGAGCCTGTGTGCGTGGACGTGCATGGGTGCATGGGTACTCCCACCCACACATATCCCCACCCACCACACACCATCATCACCCCCCCAGGTACACGGACGTGACAGGCTGTGCCCCTTCCAACGACTTGGTCGAGCAGCTCTTTTTACCTGTTACCCCCGAATGCCTGCTGCTGTGTCGCCTCCCCTGCTCTCCACATCTCCCATTTGCTGACATAATCTCCATGTATTCCCCCACCCACACCCTCGCCCCCACCACCCCAGATACACGGACGTGACAGGCTGTGCCCCTTCCAACGACTTGGTCGAGCAGCTCTGCTCCCCTGCCACTCTCGAGTGCCTCCTGCTCTCTCTCCTTCCTTGGTCCCCATATCTCCCGTTTCTTCTCTGTATACCTCCTGCTTCCCCAGGTACACGGACGTCACCGGCTGTGCCCCTTCCAACAACTTGGACGAGCAGCTCTGCTTCACGTCATATTTCTTTTTCTCTACCTTCTCCCCACGCACCCACCCCAGATACACGGACGTGACAGGCTGTGCCCTTTCCAACGCCCTGGTCGAGCAGCTCTGCTCCCCCGCCACTCCCGAATGCTTCCTGACTCGCCTTCTCTGCGCCCCACCTATACCACTCCCTGTCATTATCTCTCTATGTATTCTCCCACGCCCCCACCACCACCACCACCCCAGATACACGGATGTGACAGGCTGTGCCCCGTCCAATGACTTGGTCGAGCAGCTCTGCTCGCCAGCCTCTCCCGAGTGCCTCCTCTCCCGCCTCCTCAGTTCCCCACGTCTCTCATTCCTTGTCGTCTCTCTGTGTTGTCCCTGCACACCACACCCACCAACACCACCACCACCACCACCAACACCACCACCACCATCCCCACTACCCATCCCAGGTACACAGACGTGACGGGCTGTGCCCCTTCTAATGACTTAGTCGAGCAGCTCTGCTCCCCTGCCACTCCCGAGTGCCTCCTCTCCCGCCTCCTCTGCTCCTCCATCTCCTCCCTCCCCTACCTCCGCCCCTCCCAATCCACCTCGGGAGTCGGAGGGCTCGACGCTGACGTGGAACGGCTCGTGTCTGAGCTGGCGGCGCGTCAGCAGCTGTCAGCGCAGGTCGGCAACAGGCTGGCGCGGCTGCAGGAGGGGATCCAGGAGCTTGTGTGGCTGCTGGAGAGCGAGATAGGGAGCGATGAGCTGGCGAAAGCGAGAAAGCGGATTGGTGGGATACCAGAGAGGGGAGGGGGAGGGGGGAGTAGGGCGGGGAGGGGATGGGCAGGGGGAGGGGTTGGGGGGGCCTCTTCAGCTTATGTGGCTATGGGGGGGGAGGGAGAAGGGAATGGGGTAGGGGGAGGGAAGGAGGGGGGAGGGGAGGGGAGGAAATGGCACTGGTCGTGTGTGATGCTGGTGGGAGTGCTAGTGGTGTCGTCACTGCTTGTTGTGCCTGCTACTGTGCTCCTGCTCATGTTTGTGAAGTGACACACCCTTCTCCCCTGCTTCTCTGTCCTGCTTCCCGGTTAGCGCTGCTCTTTTCTGCTCCTCTCCCCTACTGCTGTACCAATGCTCATGCTTGTTCGACGGAAGCTGCTTTGAACGTGGTTTGAGAGTCGCCAAAGCAACCTTGGCTTTCCAGCTAGCTACTCCTTCGTCCTCTGTACAGTCTGGTAGTTCTTGACCTCCCTTGTCTTGCCTTGCCGCATCTTACCATATCCTAGCAACAGCTTCTAGGCCTACTAGTAGTGTTGTTGCTACTGGTACTGGCCTTTTGGTGGTGCAGAAACGAATTTCCTGGCCATGCATCAGTACTCTTGAGGACACAAGAACTTTCAATCAAGTCCATCTGAACTGCGGCTCTTCCACCCACAGCAGTCACGCACATACTTGCACTATCTAGCAGATGCTTGAGTCAACTCAGGATCAACTCCAAACCCTGGTGCCTCGTAGTATGTACCGTACATCAGTCCTGTAAACAAAGAGTCCCAAAGAGTCCCACTGAGGCGCACCCACAAAGAGAATCAAAGAGTTTCAAGTCCCACTGAGGCGCTTCCACAGCAGCCACGCACATACTCGCACTATCCACCTAGCAGCCTACAGCATCCCCTTTGGTTCAAACGCGCTGTTACCTCTGCTGCCGCTGGTCCCGGCATGTCTGGTCACGACACAAGCCGGTGTGGCATGGCATGGCATGGTGCCTTGTGGGAAATGCATGGGCCCAACCAGAGCCCTTGTACGCCAGTCAGTCACTCACTCGCACTATATACCTACAGCACCGCAGTCCACTCCACTGCACTCCCTTAGAGGCGCTTTAAAACTATTGTTAGACCAACGTGTCTTCTAGGACCGGCGCATATGGTATGCCATAATGCCAGTCCTCAGGGAAACATACTGTAAAGGAAGCGAACTTCACCCAGGGCCTTATTCCATTATTAATCAAAGTCTCACATAACACACACATCAGAAGGATCTACTACAAGCCCTTTTATCTCTGCCCCTTCAACTCCATCCACCTGATCTGCTGCATCCACTCACACCGTCCTTCCATCCACCCACCCAATCAGCCTTTCGCAAAGCTGACTTCGAAGTCCTGTACCCATCCCCTAGCACGTTCACCAGCCAGCAGCATGTAACTCACCCCCTATTTTTTAGGAACACCATACAAAACAGCAGGTGTGCACTCTGTGCGCACATATTTGTCGGGCATGAAATACGTATCCCCGTTCGCAAAGTGCAGCTCCCGAACATACGGGCGAATGGGGAAGCCCCACGAGTAAAGAAAAGACACGGTCTGCCCGGGGTACAGCTGAACATTGCCCCTGGGCCCCTGGTTGAATTGAACCGCGCAGTTGCCCTTACCGAACCTCTCAACACAGCAAGGACCGAAGACCGGAACGCGCTGGAACGGAGAAGGGTAGCGCGCGGGGTTCGCTAGCGAGTCAATCATAATATTGCCGAAATCGAAGCAGTTGAAAAGGATGAGCGGGCTCAGGATGCTGTACTTGCACCTGTTCACCATGGTCATATTGAAGAGGTGATTCCTCTGGAAATATGGGCCCAGGTACTTCTGAGCGATTCTCAGGGTCATCCTGCCGCAATGTGGATTTCATGGGGAAGCATTTGCGGGGAGGAGGGGAGGGGGAGAACAGGGGAGGGGGCAGGGATAGTAAGGGGAAGGAATACTTCTTCCTTTTAGTGAAGGAAATTTGGGACGAGGCTAAGCTTCTTTGCACACAGCAAGAAGATAGTAGGAGATGAGTTAAGATAAGAACACTCACTATCGGTAAGCGGGGGGTTCGACTGAAGCTCGCGCCGATGCACTTCCATTTCCTTCAGGTGCTCCGGGAGAGGCTCATCCGCGTTATAAGACTCCACGTTGAGAATCCGCGGGCCCTGACGCTGAATCATATCCGCGATCGCCTCCACGCCGCTCGCGCCGCCCGCGGCAGCGCTGGCGGCAGTAGAGACGGCGGCGTCCGCGGAGGCGGACGTGGGGAGCGCCGCGGAAGCATCGTCCGCGGAGCTGAGCTCGTCCGTGCGCGCGTGAGTGGCGGGGACAAGGGACGCCGCGAGGAGGGCGACGAGGGCGAGCGTTGCCACAGTGAAGAAGCCGCGAGGGAGTGCCATGGTGGTTTGGGAACTTGAAGAGAGGTGCTTGCGGCGTTGAACTAGTACTAGTAGCAGTAATTCGGAAGCAGAGGAAGCAGGAGATTTTGGGTTCGGCTTGAGAACCCACTATCTCAAGCTCTGTGTTGAAACAGCTACTTGTGTTCAGCTGATGATGGTTGAAAGTAACAGATCCGCCTGACTTATAGTTGCGTTCGCGGGAAGGCGAAGGCCTTGAATCCAAGGCGTTTCGTGGGCGTCATCGCGAAAATGGCAAGTGCCGAAAGTCACAAAAAAGTGCTCGAAATGTGACTTTTATGTGACAGCAAGTCCGGCGTTTTTTAGTCATGGTTGAAAGTACCGGCCACGATGTTCCCTGCGTTGTCACGGAAATGTCACGTAAATGTGACATAATGTCACACAGAATGTCACAGTAGAGTGTCTGGTGAAGCGACTTTCTCGTCACTTTTATGTAACCTTGCCACGTGTCACGTATGCCAAGATATTTTGCCACGTGTCATTGTCGTTGATTGGTGGATATGAACCAATCAAACCTCGGGGACGTGGGTGCAGAAATGTTTTATGATTGGGTGGCGATTATTATCGAGCGACGCAGCATCGCCCATTTCCGTACGCGGAAATTTCAGAATACAGCAGCTGGCATTTCGAATGGGCTCCTTTAGTCACATCACATGCGCAACATACAAGTTACTACACAGATGTACGAACTAAAGCTACCGAAAGATGTGCGAACTAAAGCCACTGCGCAGATGTACGAACTGAAGCCACTGCGCAGATGTACGAACTGAAGCCACTGCGCAGATGTACGAACTAAAGCCACTGCGCAGATGTACGATTGGCGAGCAACTGCGCAAATGTACGAACGTGTAGCCCGGAACACCGTGGCGTGGCTACGAAAACATCTTGCCAGTATGGTCGTTCGGAACTGTCAAACCTGCAAAAAAGAAGAAAGCTAATACAGAACAAAATGGAACGTGATGAATCTGCACACAAAAACATCACCAGTTATGTGAGTGATGAAACCCGCAAGACAATCATAGCAATAGATCGTGAGTCTCAGGAAACATGGGGCGGAGCGTTCGAGGGGCTAGTGCAACGGTACCTATGTTTTAACACCAAAAATAGCAGGGATGACGTCACGACAGATCCACATGCACACACACAAGCCAACGTCATGATGCTCTGTCGGTCGCAAAATCGCACAGTCAGCATCAAAGCTTGCCTGAATGACAAAAGCGAAGTACGGAACGGTCGAACTGGAATATGCGCCACTGCACTTTTGTCGCTGTTTTTCGAACATGCTGCACAAAGTAGCATGACATGCTCCTTGGTGGTGCTGGCTGCAGTCGCACTGCACCTTGCGTTCTGCCACAAAGAGATAAACAAAAGCAATATGAAGAAGAGAGAGAATCGAGACCATAGGAAACAAAGGGCTACGCAGTCGCGTAGGCCATCTGCCACGCGTTAAAGAGAAGGTGTTTGAGCCAGGCAACACACTGGGCACTGACCAGTACAGTTGACCCCACCGGTTGCCTGGGTGGCGGTTTAACATCGTTATGCTTGCGGCGTTGAAGCGCTGTGATCTGCCACGCGGGGCACCAGAGGGGAGTGGCATGTTGGCAAGTGGGGGGGCGGATGGGGAGAGTAGAGAGAGAATGAGGTATGCGGTTCCAAGTAGCTTCTCTAATGAAAAAAAACACGTGGTGGGGGTTGAACAACGATAGGTATAAACACACCGCCTATGGAGAGGTAAGCTGTAGTGTGTAAGCCTAGAGCATGAAGGTAGAGCACAGTTGGCTGAGTGTGCTAGATGGGTGTGACAAATAGGAGGCCACACAAACAAGGTTTGAACAAACTGTGAGATGCAGGGAGCATTTGTATGGGAAAGTGAAGGTTGATGGGGGTTTGGGTGATCCACGGTCCGGTTCGGTGTGAATAGTGGGAGGATAAGGGAAGGTGAAAGTTTTGTTTAGGTGCACTCCAACGATTGGCTCAAATGATTCTTGAGGCTCGGCTTAGACGGTTCAGGAAGGTTGGGAAAGATGGGGGTTTAAAAGGTGTGACGTGGAACGTTCGCGAAACCTTGATGCGACGCACATTTCCCTAGAGTAGCCTTGATTGGTTTGCACACGCCACTGTCGAGTCTGACGTGTAGCATCGAAGCGCAAAAATCTTCGTTTTGTTTTTTACGACCGTCACGAAGTAGTTTCACCGTCTGTTATTTGTTTCGCTAGTGTTCGGGTTGCTTCGCATGCCTCGTGATCACTGCATTCAAGTTGGTTTGTTTTTCTCATTCAGCAATACACAGGTAAACCGCCTTCAAACGCTTTCAACCACTGTCGTAATTCTCGTGCGAAACCAGGCCATCTACTTCCTCGCCAATTCCGTGGACGCATTTGCGACTAACAGCTTCTAGTCACTGGGAAGTTACAACAGCGTGACTTTTTTGTCACGTTTGCGGTGTACGTTAAAGCCGGCAGCCCAAATTGCACAAGTTTTAAAAGGTTGACGCGAGGGGGTTTTTGTGGTGAGGGTTTTGGCGAAAGATTCCAATTTCGCTTTTTTCGTTTTTTTTCGCCAAACCCAGCCCGCCCTCGTATTTCGCCCTGGGGGTTGGTTCAGTTCCCAAAAGTCCCAAATTGCAGGCACGCTTTTCTTCAAACCTTGAAAACACTAGTTCGTCAAGTTTTAAAAGCTTGACCCGCGCGGCCCGCAATTTGGGACTCGGGCTTTAATGTGACATTTCCGTCACCATCCCGGCTGGGACTTTTTGTATGAGCTTTTTGGTGGAAAAACCTACGGGGCCCTGAAATTTGGATCAGCCTTTTTCGCGATGGTAGCGCCGGTGGTAATCGAACAGAGGGTGCAGCGCAGCGGTTGAGTGAACCTTGAAAGGTTACTGCTAGGCTCTCAAGACGACGCTGCAGCTGTTCGCGTCGCGGCGGCGCGATAGCACCGTTCGGACATGGTTAGGGGCGTTAAGTGCAACTACCGGTCGTTTGGTGGAGCAAAAACGCGCTCTAAGTGGATTCGGAGGATTCAACAGCTTCTTGCAGGGCTGCGCGCATTGACGATACGGCTCCTGCGCGTTTCGCGGCGCCTACTCGAAGTTTTCCTTTTTGTTCCGCTCCAGGACCCTAACAAAAACTTCGACCCAGCGTGGGCGGTTTTCGCTAACTACCCATGCCACGCGTCGCCGTTAAGAGACGAGAAAGCTTCCAGCAAGCATGCAGTTGCGACGACCCTGCCAGTGATGTGGCGGCATGTGGCGGCTCGGAAAAGCGGTTGACATTTGGTGATTTGCAAGCGACTCGCTCGGATGATACTCCTCGATAAGCTGGTTTAGTCTGGCTGTTTACACATGTTTGAGAGTACACCCTACGAGGTGCAGAAATCCATGAATCTCTATACGAATACTGGTTCTATGGGAGATCTGAAAGACCTTATCAATACGACGCAATGAAAACAAGCTCTTCCAATAAAGCGGATTGAACGAGGCGCGCGAGTTGAAATTTTGCAAATTCAAATCTACGAGGCCGTGTTTCCAAGCACTCCAATGCCAGCCTGGTTTTAGGAACTTGTACATTTTGTCAACGGGAGCACCGAGACAACTCAAACTCGTAAACACAGGGAACGTATTTTTGAAACCGGCCTGGGCGATCAGGGATCCCATTTGTTGGCCGTTTGATTTCCCTTTGCATCAAGTTCCCACTGTTACTCGTAGCTGCACTTCCATCACCACGGATTTTGTGTTGGCGAAGCTCGTACAGTCAGCACCGGCTGGAAATCTCGTAACCATTCGTGCGAGAAGAAGCTTAGGATCTACGGCACTATCAGACACGCAGCCGGGACAAGGATTCTGTTGAATGAAATGTGGATGTGAGGGAGTTTTCTCGTTGTGGACGACACGGAATTACAAACTTTAGACACATTTTTCCGACATGGTTCTTATTCATCCGAGTATCATCAGCAGCGTCGCGACACGGTTAGGGAGAAAATGGGAGGACGAGGAGGGGAGGACGATGTACGAGAAGGGAGAAGACTGCCTCGGTAACCAGCCGCTTGCCTTACCTTTATGTTTTGAGTCGACTCAAAAGTGTGTTTTGAGTCGACTGAAAACACACCTGAGTCGACTCAAAACATGCCTCGGTAACCAGCAGCTTGCCTTACCTTTACACGACGATCCTCTCGTTTCTGCCGTCACGATGTTTCTGCTGCGTGTGTTTCGCTCCTTCTTTTCCCCTCACCCCAGGGTAGGCCGTTCTCCGGGTAGGCTTGGCTCGCGCCACGACGTATATCGCAGTGCACGTGGCTTCCCCGCCTCGCTCTCATCTCACGGACTCTCTCTGCTGCTTACAGCGACTGATGCGCGTTTTGAGACGTCTCAAAGTTCCCCCCCCCCTCTCATCTCTCAGACTGTTCCCGCCGATTACAGCAGCTGACGAGGCGGGACTGCCCGTGATGCTGCTCCTAGTGCCCCTCCTGCTAGCCCATAACCGCACTCCACCCCTCCCTCCACAATCTTCCCCTCCCCTCCCGACCCCCACTCCTCTTCCCCCTCGTCCCTGTCTCTCAGGCTCCCTGCGCGATCTGCAGCGGCTGATGCGGCGGGATCACGCCGTGTCGTTACCAGTAGTGATATCTCTGCTCGCTTCTCACGCCGCCTTCCGTCACACTTCTCCCTATCCTTCCTCTTTCCCGTCTCTCAGGCTCGCTGCGCGATCTGCAGCGGCTGATGCGGCGGGACCACCCCGTGTCGCGCGACGTGCTCGTGCAACTGGGTCGGTGGGACATTGTGCGCACGGACCTCGTTCCCATCATCTGCCGATACCGCCGTGACTCTTCGCTCCTCCTTAACGCCGGTAAGCGCCCCTTTGAGTCCGAGTCACAAGCCTGGCGTAGCTTGGTCGGTGGGACATTGTTCGCACGGACCTCGTTCCCAGTAGCTGTCTCTTTTAAATCAGTGATTCATTGAGCCTCTCAAGTCGACCGGGTGGGTCGGTGGGATATTGTCCCCACGGTCCTGGTCCCAATCATCTGCCGATACCGCCGCGACTCTGCGCTACACCTTACGAGCGCACCTCTCCTTTCCCCGGCTTCCCCCACGTCCCCACCCCTTCCCCCTCACCCTTCCCCTCCACCCTCCCCTCCCAACCAACAGTCAAGCTGCTAGTGTTCCTCACAATGCCATCACCGCCGCCGCCGCCTGATTCGGATGCGGCTGGGCGGCAGCAGCAGCAGAAGCTGCGGCTGGAGCACCACCACTGGCAGATGCTCTTAACGCCTTACATCCCTTTCCACCCCATCCCACCCCTCAGTGAAGCTGCTAGTGTTCCTCACAATGCCATCGCCGCCACCGCCGCCTGATCTGGACGCGGCGGGGCGGCAGCAGCAGCAGAAGCTGAGGCTGGAGCACCACGGATGCCAGAGGCGCTTCAAGAGCGCGCTGCTGCACGGAACCGGCGCTGTAACGAGTGGGCTTATACCGAAAAACGGATTCGCGGGTGGTGGTGGTGGTGCTGGTGCTGGTGGTGGTGGTGGTGGTGGCGCTGGTGGTGGTGGTGGTGGTGGCGCTGGTGGTGGTGGTGGTGGTGGGAGTGGTTATGTGGGGAATGGGGAGAGCGATGCGATCGCAATTGTGCTGCAGTTGCTCGTTGAACCTCTCAAGAACATTCAAAGGTAGAGTTTGAACTCCCCCGAGTATTTCCAAAGGTAATGTGTGGGGCTCATGTGGAAAACCAATGTTGCTGTTGAGTCAACTGAACGTCTCCCGTGCTCCAGTTGCTCGTTGCTCCTCTCAAGAATATCCAAAGGTAGACGACTTTTGAGACGTCTCAAAAGCCGGTTGCTCGTTGCTCCTCTCAAGAATATCCAAAGGTAGACGACTTTTGAGACGTCTCAAAAGCCGGTTGCTCGTTGATCCTCTCAAGAATATCCAAAGGTAGACGACTTTTGAGACGTCTCAAAAGCCGGTTGCTCGTTGATCCTCTCAAGATATCCAAAGGTAGTGTGGAGAGATTCAGTTTTCGCAATGGTAGCGAAAGAGAAAGCTGATGGGATGGGAGAGTGCGTTGACTCTCAGGCATCCCTATTAAAGCCCCACTTTCCCCGACTTGACTCGTCGCCCATTTCCCCCCTCGCATCCCGCTCAACCTCCCCCCTCCCCCCCTGCCCAAATCCATCCCCCGCTCATCCGCCGCCCATCTCCTGCCCTCCGAACCACCCCACTCCCCGCCTCTCCTGTGCAGCGGGAGAGGCAGCAGTGGCGACTGGCGGCCAGTTCATATGATCGTCACTCTGGCTGGTGCCCATTCCCCCTGCTTATTCCCTCCCCCCCTCTCCCCCACCCCCCTCTCCTTCTATCTCCCCCCACCCTCTCGTGCTCCCGCCTCCCCTGTGCAGCGGCCGTGGCAGCAGCGACGACTGGCGGCTGGTGCAGATGATCGTCACTCTGGTTCGGAACCTTCTTGCCATCCCCGACCCTCCGCCGGACGTATCCTCAGCCTCGGCATGGGCGCACCTGTGCTTCCTTCAGGTAGGCTTGGTAAACCTGCTTTCAAGTAGGTTCGGTAAACCTCCTGTCAAGTAGGTTCGGTAAACCTCCTGTCAAGTAGGTTCGGTAAACCTGCTGTCAAGTAGGCTCGGCAAACCTGCGGTCAAGTAGGCTCGGCAAACCTGCGGTCAAGTAGGCTCGGCAAACCTGCGGTCAAGTAGGCTCGGCAAACCTGCGGTCAAGTAGGCTCGGTAAACACCCTGTCAGGTAAGCTCGGCAAACCTGCTGTCAAGTAGGCTCGGCAAACCTGCAGTCAAGTAGGCTCGGTAAACACCCTGTCAGGTAAGCTCGGCATGCACACAGCCCCCCACTCCCTCTCTCCACTACCCCCTGCATTCTGCCCTCCTCTCTCCCTCCCCCCCCCTTCTTTTCCCCCAGGACGATCTCATTCGCTCTCTCTTCCGCAGCGGCTTCCCCAACGTCCTTCTCTTCCTCGTCTCCTGCCTCGACGCCCCCGAAACAGCCCCATCATTCTGCCCCGCTCTTCCCCCCCTGACCCCTTCCCCCATCCCACACCCCTTCTTTTCCCCAAGGACGATCTCATTCGCTCTCTCTTCCGCAGCGGCTTCCCCGACGTCCTCCTCTTCCTCATATCCTGCCTCGACGACCCCGAAACCGCCCCAGCGCTTCGCCACGACAATCTCTTATTCCTAGAGATACTTAATCTCCTATTCCGCGAATTACCTCCTAAGGACGCGGCTGTAGCGGCGTTCCGGGCTGCTGGGGAGGCAGATGCCGAGGCTGACGCGCGGGAGGACCGGGAGGCTGCCGAACGTCTGGCGGAGGCTCGGCAGCGTGAGAAGGAGCGGGCGGCGCGGAAGGCGCTGGCTCAGAAGATCACGCAGCGGCACTCTCGGTTCGGCGGGCTCTATGTGGTTCGAAACGCGGTGAGTTGGCTGGTTCGGAATAGGGTGAAGGGTTGGTTCGGTCGGATGTGCTCGGTGGTTCGTGACTTGGCCCATCCACTGCACCGCATCTCACCCCTTCCGATTCAAACCTTCTCTGTCATTCCCTGATCCCCCACTTCTTGCTTCCCATCCCATCTGTTTTTTCGCCCAGGGCAAGTCGAGAACAGTTAGCAGCACGCCCTTCGCCCCGCCTGTCCACCATCCCTTCTTCATCTCCACGCCCTCCCCTCTTCCTCTTCCCACCCTTTCTCTTATACTCATGCCCCCCCTCTGCCCAGGACAAGTCGCGAACAGTTAGCAGCAGGCCCTTCTTCCCACCCGTGCACCATGCCATATTCAGCCAAGTCAGGCGGGACCCTGTGCGGAGAGCCCGTGCAGAGCAGCATGGGGGCAGTTTACGCACCCTCACTTCTTCCTTGTTCCTTCCCTTCCCCTCTTCCCACAGGACAAGTCGAGAACAGTCAGCAGCAGGCCCTTCGCCCCGCCCGTGCACCATGCTATTTTCAGCCAAGTCAGGAGGGGGCCCGTGCGGAGAGTAATGGGGGGCCCTCAAACAACCCTCTCGTCTTCCTTGTTCCTCCCCCTTTCTTGTTTTACTGCCCTTCCCACCACCCAGGATAAGTCGAGAACAGTCAGCAGCACGCCCTTCTCCCCGCCTGTCCACCATGCCATCTTCAGCCAAGTCAGGAGGGGCCCTGTGCGGAGGGTCATGGGGGGCACGGGCATGGGGGGGGGGCATGGGCATGGGCATGGGCATGGGTGTAGGGGGAATAGAACTGGGCGGAACAGGCATGGGAACAGGTATGGATGGTGGTTTGAACGGCGATGGGGGTGGTGGCAACGGTGGTGATGTGAGGAAACCGGATGCTGACGTGGATGCTGCGCTGGGATTGGTCGGTGGAGCGCGGGCCAATAGGAGGAGCTCCAGGTGGACGGCGAGGTGGTTGGGGGTGTTTGCCGACCGACTGCTGGCTTCAGGGTGTTACAACGGTGAGTGTGACAATAACGAGTGTTCCAACAGAGAGTGTTACAACGGTCAGTTGACTAATCAGTGCTATGACTGTAAGTGTCGGGTCTATGAGTGTTCCGACAGCAAATGCTATCGCTGCGAGTGCCGGGCCTAAACCTCCCCTCCCCTCCCCCTCCTCACGAGATCCGGACATGGCTCAGTGAGCTGCGTGCGTGCAGTAGGCTTAAGCAAAGGAAAAAACAGCAGTAGATTTCTGCTCTGTGCTATCACTGCGAGTGCCGGGCCTAGACCTCCCCTCCCCTCCCCCTCCTCACCCCCCTCCCTCCAGTGCTCATGGAGACGGTTAGTCGCGACGTGGCCTCGTGGCAAGCGGGTCTTGAACCCTCCGACACGCTCGCATTCTTCCTCTTGCCCCACCCAATGCTCGCCCCTCCACCTCTTCCCCCCTTTTGCCCCTCCAGTGCTCATGGAGACGGTTCGTCGCGACGTGGCTGCATGGAGGGCAGGGCTAGAGCCCTCGGACACCCTCGCATTCTTCCTCGTGGCTTCCTTCTTCACTGCTTTTCAACGGGAGATGCACAGCCTAAGGGGCTGGGGGGAAGGGGGGGCACATGCAGCCACAGGGGAGAGGGGGCAGGGGGGGGCGGCTGGGGGGGGGGTTGGGGGAGAAGGAGAGGCAGCAGGGGCAAGGGACGCGGAAGCAGGGGGAGGGGGAGAAAAGGGAGATGGAGGAGGAGGAGAAGAATCAGGGGTAGCGGGGAAAGGAGCAGGGGAAGTTGGAGAAGAAAAAGAAAAGGTGGAAAGAAATACAGGAGGGGAAAGGGCAGGAGCCGAGGAAGCTTCTAGGAAGGAAGAGCAGCGAGCAGTGGTGTGTGGGTGTGGGCCAATAGCGGCCACGATGGATGATGACATGTTCACTCTTGTTTCTGCCCGCTGGGCAGAATATGCTGCCCGGGCCAATCACGAGCGGGCAGCGCTGGTAGCGGCGGGCAGCCTGCTGAAAGAAATGGTGAGCGTCAAGCATTGCTGATTCGAGCACCCCCTCCCTATCCTTTCTTGTTTCCCCTTTCGGTTGCTTGTTTTCGCTTCTTTGTCGGGGCCTTATGCTGTAGGGTGTTTTTGAGAATTCTCAAAACACCCAACAGCATTATGATTTTTATTTGATGCCCCTTCTCCCTCCCCCCACCCACCCTGTCTCTACCCCACAGATTCACATGCTCGATGCTATAATCAAATCCGGGGAGAACCCCACCCCTACAACGACAGGCTCGGCCGAGCCTCACCACGAGGTTCGGCAGGAGGTCCGGTGGGAGGTTCGGCGGGAGGTTCGGCTGGCACGGGCCATGCTTCTGAGGCTGTTTTACGACGATTCGAGCGACGGGGTGGTGCACGTGCTGCAGCGGGTGCTGAAGGGATTTAACCCACACACTCAGCCGCGCTGCTTGCTGGTTGACGCTGTGGAAACCACCCACGTGTGCTTGCGGCTCTTGGAGTACCTGGTTCAAACGGAGGGAGCACTCAAGGTACGCACACAAGCTCAGAACGCGTGAGGCACTCAGCTTGATCGATTAGAGTGACGGGGACGGCCGCACTGCTTGCTGGTTGACGCGGTTGAAACCACCCACGTGTGCCTGAGATTGCTCGAAGACCTGGTTCGAACAGAAGGGGCGCTCAAGGTTCGTTGAGGGTGCATTGAGGGTGCATGTGCTGCAGCGGGTGCTGAAGGGATTCAACCCGCACACACAGCAGCCAGAGAAAGAGTCTATATCAATGAAAGAACCATTAGAGTCCACGGTGAGAATTTTGCTCGTTTTGCCTTGCACGTTCTTGTAACCTTGGCCGCTGCAGGTGGTGAGAAAGAGTCGACAGCGAAAGGACAAGGCTGGGAAGGCAAAGGGAAAGAGTGCAGGCGCGGGCAATGAAATGAGAGCTGAAGATAATGAAGAGGTCAGGCGGGAGTTCCAGGAGGGAGAGCAGGAAGGAGAGCAGGGGGGTATGCAGGAGAAGGCTCAAGAGGGAGAGAAAGCTGCTGCTGCAGATGTTGGTGATGGTGCTGCGGGTGCTGATGGTAGTAATGCTGCTGCTGCTGCTGCTCATGTTGGTGCAGCGGGAGGGGTTGCTGCTGGTGTTGCTGATGGTGGTAGTGGTGATAATGCTGCATCTGGTGCTGCTGAAAGTGGTGATGAGTGTGTGAACATAGGTGGGGAGAAGATGGTACAGGGGCATGCAGGTGGGGAGGGGGAGGCAGAGTGGAAAGTGGGGGAGGAAGCAGAGCTGCATGAGCGAGGAGGAAAGGGAGGAAGGAAGGAAGGGCAGGAGTGGGGGACAGGACAGGGGGAAGGTGGTGGTAGTAGCCCTGCTGCTGCTGCTCCTGCTGCTGCTGCTCCTGCTGCTGCTCCTGCTGCTGCTGCTGCTGCTGCTGCTGCTTCTGCTGACGCTGCTGCTGATGATGCTGAAGATAATGAAGAGGAAGAGGCAGCAGCGGATGGAGAAGGCCCAGAAGTTTCCGAACAAGGCTCGGAGCTAGGCTCAGATGCAGGCTCGGACATAGGCTCGGATGCTGAGCCTGGGGACGGCATAGAGGAGGCGGAGGAAGAGGGTCGGCGCGGGAGGGAGGAGGTTCGGGAGTATGAAGTAGATGTGAAGCGGACTATAAGGGGGTTTGCTGACGTGCACGCGGTTAAGAACTGTGTGTGGCTGCTGGAAACGGCCAATAGCAATGCGCCACGTGTCAACCACTATGTGCTGTCGCTGCTCAGGAGGTTCACTGTGGGGTGCGATGCTGAGGCCATGCTGTTCCAGGTGGGTCTCAGGTGCTTTCTCAGGTGATTTTGCAAATGATTTTTCAGGTGCTTTCTCAGGTACTTTTGCAAGTGCTTTCTCAGGTGTATTTTCAGGTGCACTCCAAGTTTCAATCCTTACAGCCTGCACCCTCGCCCCCCTCCGCCCCTCCCTCTTCTGAACGTTCTTGTTTTTTTAGGCATTTAAGTGAACTTCCCCTTCCCTTCCCCATCTCCACACCACTTCCGCCCATCCGTCCTTCCCTTTTCCCCCATCTCCCTTCGCCCCAGGTCTCAACCCTACACACATTCTACAAGCTCCTCACCAACCCCGACCTGCGCTCCTCCCCCCTGCACGCGCCTCTGGTTTTAGGTCACTTCAATAGTGTCCCCCCCATCTCCCCTCCCCCCACTCCCCCCTCTTCCCCCAGGTGTCAACCCTATACACATTCTACAAGCTCCACACCAACCCCGACCTCCGATCCTCCCAACTGTGCCCCAGATTCTAGGTCTCCTATAGAACGCTCCCCTTCCCCCTTCCCCCTTCCCCCCTTCCCCCCTTCCCCCCTTCCCCCCATGCCCCCTCCCCCCAGGTGTCAACCCTACACACATTCTACAAGCTTCTCACCAACCCAGGCCTCTGTGCCTCCCCCCTGCACGCACCCCTGTTTCTAGATCACCTAAGACCACTCCCCTTCTCCTTTCCCCCCCATCTCCCTTCCCCCCCATCTCCCTTCCCCCCCATCTCCCTTCCCCCCATCCCCCCTGCTCATCAGGTATCAACCCTACACACCTTTTACAAGCTTCTCACCAACCCAGACCTGCGCGCCTCCTCCCTGCACGCGCCTCTGGTTTTAGGTCACTTAAATAGTGTCCCCCCCATCTCCCCTCCCCCCAGGTATCAACCCTACACACCTTTTACAAGCTTCTCACCAACCCCGACCTCCGCGCCTCCTCCCTGCACGCGCCCCTCCTCTCCTTCCTCTCCTCCACTGTGCGCCACCTCTCCGCCCTCCTCCCCCTGCGCCCCGCGCTCTTCCTCCGCCTCCTCTTCCCCAAATCGCGGAAAGAAAGCATGGTTCTCGCTGCTGACGTGGCACTGGGGGAGCTTAGGTCGGGGGGGTGGGTGGGCGGGAGAGCGGGAGGCGGGGATGGGGAAGAGGGATGGGAGGCGGTGAGTGGGGGGAAAGGGAGGCGGAGAGAGGGTGGGGGAGGAGGAAAAAGGGGAGGGAAGGGGGGAGAAAGGGGCGGGAGGGAGAATATAAGGAGTGGGGGGTTGAGGGATGCCTTGGGGGATGATGAAGCAGACGTGGAGGTGCCTCGAGGAATGTGGTGGGCTGCTGATGCTGCTGATGCTG